CCCATAGACTACAACATAGTTTCTCAACTTCTCCACACTTTGTTTTGCCTCCACAAAGCTCACTATAACAGTTATCTGCACACGGTCATCACTGTTTCCTATCAAACATCTGTCGTCATTATCTCCCCTCCTTCTTTTTTGTGTATGTTACTCTCCTGTTACACATCTATTCTTCGGCACTTATATGACCTTATTGTGTTGCAAGTGCCGTAAATCTCTTACTAAAACTAAAAAAGTAGAAGCTTCCTACACTTGCTCCACAATTTCAGCATCAGAAATCACTGCTGATGTTCGCACACTAGTGTCAATGTCCATAAATTGAAAGGCGCCTCCCCTCGCTAGGACCCGGGCTAAGGGCTTGGCCGAACAAATAAAAAATGATGCGAATCCATTGTGTCAGCCATCGGCTTGCGCTGATAAGTGTGTGGGCAGTGTGTAACCTAGCCACTGTGTAGGCAGACTCGCGTGGCAGTTGAGCAACTCTTGATTTGGTCAACTCATAGAGATGGGAGGGTTTGTTTGTTCAGCCGTAAATAAGAAGGAAAAAGACTTTTTGGCCAAGAAAATCGGTTAGTTACAGCCATCAGTTCGTTATCGTATGTTCTCTAAATGCGTCAAAATATAAATGACACAAAGACAGAAGAAAAACAGGGCAAAGAAATGTATTCTTTATTTTTGTCAGTTCTTTACAGGAGCGTTCTTTATAGGTGTGCTCTACTGTATTCTTATTACAGTATTACAGTCAAAACAACTTCATCAATATATGATTCAATCCTTTTCTTCCTGACATAAAGTTACATTGTTTTGGTCATTTTCCATTTTATCCTATGGTGGCAAGTGGTGTCAAGAGAAGTCAGAGTCAGAAATTGACCAGAGGTCAAGCATAAGTAGGCCTATAAGTGAACCTGCAAGTGAACCTACAAGTTAACAGTTTGATGACCAAAATCAGCATACATCATTTTTGAAGTTAGGCCAAAACTAGCACCCTAGTACATTTGTACCTAGAAATTTGAGGCTCGTTCCAAAGTCAACTTCTTTTGTCACAAAACTTGATTTTTCCTCTTTAAAAAACTGTAGACAGTGAAACTTAATTTACAAAATGTGACAAAGCAGTAGACCTTTTTAGACAAACCATGACATATCCTCTGCCTGCCAATCAAGTTCTTTCCTAGAGTCAAGCGACTTCACATGTGGTCGACAATCGACAAAAGTTGGTCAGAGGTTCTTTCCTTTCCTTATAATTTCAATGTGGATAGGTCGCATTTTGTCAAAAATGTGTGGAGCTCTCATCAATTTCAAGGATAAGAATCCTATGTAAGATTTCATCATACATCAAACAACTAAGCCCTACATCATATTTACTTTAAAAACAAAGTTGCTCAATATTATTCAATATATGGGTGAAGATCAGAAAGCTTCAATTTTCTGTAAAACAGAAAAAATTGATACGTATGTCATGAAACTTTAAGTGAGCCTGCAAGTGAACCTTTATGTGAAGCTATAAATGAGCCTTAAAGTTAGCCTACAGGTGAACCAATAAGTGAACCCACCTGCCAAAAGCGCAGCTTGTGATCCATGTGCGAGAAGGTGGCCAAATATTTCCCGTCTTGGTTGACGGCCACGGCTGTAATCGGCCCCTGGTGGGCAGGCAGCATCTGGGGACAGACACCAATGAAATCCTCAGAGCAAAAGGGAACTCAATAGATCTACATAGCCTGATTTGGGTTGAAAATGGCTTATTTTTAAAAAAAGAGAGAAAAAAGCTGATTCAAACAGGTCCAATCTCAACTCTAGGCATGAATGAGACAAAACCAAAAAGAAATTGGTTATGGGCAGGCAATCAGATCATCTGCTCCACAAAGTAAATTTAATCTGGTCATACTGGTGTAAGGGGAAAACCTTACACACTGTTTTAGTAAGTTAAAGTTTTATGGCACTTGCAACACAATCAGGTCATTTAAGTGCAGAAGATTAAAGGTGTTACAAGAGAGAAACACATTTTTTTTTAAAGTAGGGGGGTAAGATAAGAGATGTTACAAGAGAGTAGCAAAAAAATATAAAAAATGGAAGGAGAGTTAGGTATGATAGAAGTTTGATAGGAAAGAAGTAGCAAACCACACCAGAGCATCCACAAACCGCCCACACCTTAAACTGTTAGGTCTGAACACAGAAAAAAGCTGCATGAGACACTTAAAATAAGCTTGTGCCTGTAGTGAAACCTTTCCATCAAAACTTTCAAGGGCACAATTGCAAATATGAGGCAGCAGACTAGCAGAAAGGGTTTATTGAGACAGCACACTTGTCAAGAAGTGAATATTGAGAGAGCAGGCTTGTCAAAAGTGGTCCACTTATAAAGGCGTTTACCAGCACAGTGCTCAGGTCAAAAAGTTTTCGGGACACAGCACACTTGACCAAAAGGTTTACCGATACAGAGTACTTGTCAAAAAAAGAAAGGAATTATGTACACAACACACTTGTCAAGGGTCATATAACTAAACAATAGGGAAGTGGGCGGTCTGCGGGTGCTCTGGTGTGGTTTGCTCCTTCTTTCCTATCAAACATCTATCGTCCTGATCTTCCCGTCTTCTTTTTTAAGTCTGTTACTCTCTTGTAACACCTCTAATCTTCTGGCGCTCATATGACCTTATGCAGTTGCGAGCGCAGTAAAACCTCTACTAAAACAAAAACAAACAATAGGGAAAACCGTGACCAATGTGTGGGTTTATTTTAAACTTTTCGTTTTTAGAAAGAGTTTTATGGCACTTGCAACAGAGTTTGGTCATGTGAATATGAGTGTCCAAGATTAGGGGGTGTTACGAGGGAGTGACTTACAGAGAATCACACAACGTGATTTGTACAACATTCATGAGTCTCAGGAAACAATCTTACTGCAGAGCACAGAATGTGGTTAAGACATCTCAGAAGTATGTGTTGTGGTTTGGGTTTTGTTTTGTTTTGTTTTAGTAAGCATTTTATGGTACTTGCAACACAAGTAGGTCATATAAGTGCCGAAAATAAGAGGTTGTTACAGGAAAGTAACAAACATAAAACAGGAGGAAATAAAGACGATGGATGTTTGATAAAAAGAAGGAGCAAACCACACCAGAGCACCCGCCAACCACCCACTGGTTTTGGCTTTACCAAAGTGCCAAAGAATAGGGGCGTTACAAGAAAGTAACAAACACAAAAAAGAAGGAGGAAATAAAGACGATGGATGTTTGATAAAAAGAAGGAGCAAACCACACCAGAGCACCCGCGCAACCACCCACTGGTTTTGGCTTTACCAAAGTGCCAAAGAATAGGGGCGTTACAAGAAAGTAACAAACACAAAAAAGAAGGAGGAGATAAAGACGATAGACATTTGATAGGAAAGAAGGAGCAAACCACACCAGAGCACCCGCGCAACCACCCACTGGTTTTGGCTTTACCAAAGTGCCAAAGAATAGAGGCGTTACAAGAAAGTAACAAACACAAAAAAGAAGGAGGAGATAAAGACGATAGACATTTGATAGGAAAGAAGGAGCAAACCACACCAGAGCACCCGCGCAACCACCCACTGGTTTTGGCTTTACCAAAGTGCCAAAGAATAGGGGCGTTACAAGAAAGTAACAAACACAAAAAAGAAGGAGGAGATAAAGACGATAGACATTTGATAGGAAAGAAGGAGCAAACCACACCAGAGCACCCGCGCAACCACCCACTGGTTTTGGCTTTACCAAAGTGCCAAAGAATAGGGGCGTTACAAGAAAGTAACAAACACAAAAAAGAAGGAGGAGATAAAGACGATAGACATTTGATAGGAAAGAAGGAGCAAACCACACCAGAGCACCGGCCAACCAATCACTGGCTTTGGATTTACCTGACACCTGGAATGTTGTTTCATCTCGTACAGAGCCAAATGCCCGTTCCTGGCTCCGACCCAGACCCTCTTGGTCTGATGACAATACGCTACCATGCTGAACCTACAGGGGACACAAGCAAAAACCTTCCAGCTTAAGGTACAAGGAAAACGGAAGACAGAAGACAAAAATCTCAGGCAGCATCATCAAGTTAGAGTACACTGCAGCTTGAGTAATCATTTAAATGTATGTGAGTGTGTGTGTGTGTGTGTGAAAGAGAGAGAGAGAGAGAGAGAGAGAGAGAGAGAGAGAGAGAGAGAGACAGAGAGACAGAGAGACAGAGAGAGAGAGAGAGGGAGAGAGAGAGAGAGACAGAGAGAGAGAGAGAGAGAGAGAGCCAGTGAGAAAAGGGTCATCAAGTTCAAATTATTACTTTTGTAGTTAAAAGTTTTCTACATTTCTGCATAGAATGACGGTTTCTGACGACCGTTTTTACATTTTTCAGATTTTTCAAATAGTTTTTGAGACATTGTCACTTTTTTAAAGCGACAAAAGCATCAACTACATGTGAGATAAACAACTTTAAAGTTTCATCTCGTCATGTTATGAGATGAACATGAGTTTTTTAAAAACTTCAAAAACATATTTAGAAGAGGAGAATTGGTGTAAAATATTTACTGAGGATGAAGTATGGTTGATGAAGTGATATTCTAACAAACCTCAATTTCTCCAAAATGAATTTTTTTCTATACAAGACTATATTCCCCATTTTCTAAAATTAAGTCTAGATCAATGCGACTTCTAGACCCTTTTCTCAGTCACACATGCATATCATATCAAGCCTTCTTTCATGACCACCTGTCCAAGACCACTTTTCTTCTTGCATTTTTTAATGATATTGGATTTATATATAATGACATTTTCCAAAAGTACTCTCTGTTTAAGACGACCCCTTAATCAAATTTTAAAAAATAAAGAACAAAACAAAGCAAATCACAAAGACAAACAAAACCCCAAACCCCCCCAAAAACAACAGACACCGAGTGAACACTTTATGGGACCACAGAGTAATTGAAAAAACCCCCCAACAAAACAAAGCATGCCATTTAACGGCATTGGACTGAAGACAGAAAGGCTCTGTACACTGCAGGACTGATATTTAAACCAAAGAAATCACAAATGGGTTTACCTGCATATGGCTGGGAACAGCTCTGGTAATCCTTTGGTCTTTAGAGCTGCCAAATCCAGGCAGAACATGCTGACATCCATGGCCTGAAAACAAAAATATCACCCCCGTCAGGATTGCACAAACAAAAGAATGAAAGAAAAACAATGGCTCTGCATGTGAGAGCTAAGCATGTGTTATCTGTTGTGATATCTATTGTCAATAAATTTTTTAAAAAAATACTTTGACAGTCACTGTAAAAAAATAATATTCAATACTTCTACTCAGAAAAAAAGTACAATTCTCATTAAAATTACACACTATAACATAACACGTTCTAAGATAAAACATTGAACAAACTTATTGTCAAATTAAAGGTTGTCTGAGAAGGTCGCCATCAATAAATTTATTTTCGGCTTTGCTGTTCATAGTGACAAAATCAAAGCAGCTCATAGCTATCCTCAGCATAAATTCATTTCCCTTAAGTTTACAAAGACAAAACCTGCCCTGGTTTGGGATTTATTTTTACTTTAGAGTCCCAATTTTTTTTGTTCCAGAATACAAGTAATTGCTCAAATATTGTACATTGCAGTATTTAACTATTACATTTCTAGTGGAACATTTCTCAAAACAATCAGGAAAGGCAAAAGCAAGACAGCACATGTTTATTATGATGACCTAAAACATACTATGGAACCAATAAATAAACAAAGCATACAGACATAAACCTTCCCAACAAAAGAAAACCATGTATTTGTGCTCACAATGTGATCTGATAGAACACAGAATACAGACAGAAGCCATCTCAACATGAGCCTAGTTTTTAACCTCCACAATGAGATCTGATAGAGCACAGAAAACACAGAAGGCATCTCAGCATGAAAAAAACAAGCTTTTATCTGATCTCCACTTTGAGATCTGACAGGAAAGAGAATAAAGACAAAAACTCATCCCAACTTGACAGAACCACATTTTCACCTCCACTATGAGATCTGCGACATCATTAGGAATCTTCTCCACCAGTAGCTCAACGATATGAAGAATTTCTGCTGACGCACGCGCCAGAATGATGTTCTGTAGATGTGCACTCTGTGACTGCGCGTTCTGAGCCAATGCGTTGAAGCGCGCCACTTCCTTGGCCATCGTGATGATGAAGGCAGGGGGTCGCGCAGTGGCAATGAGCGAGAGGGCGTGGCGTGCTGACCTACAGGCATCAGCCGCGGGGGACAGAGGTAGTCCATACGTTGTGCTGTGGGAACAGGAGAACAGTTTGTGAAATTCCAGTACAATGAGGAATAAAGTAACCACAACACAATAAACACAAACAAAGATCATTCCTACAGTAGATAGGTCACGGGACGAAATCTGGAGCTTCAACAGGTCAAAAACCTTTGAAGGCAGCATCTTGATCAGAGTCAAAGACTCCTGCAGCCAAGGAGTAAAAAAAGAACAGTTTGCAGCAACCACCATGAGACCGTGAAAAGGTTATTTTTAAGTGAAGAAAAATAATTACAACTATCTTTTGACTTTCAGGCTCTTTTGTCTTGGCCATTCGAGACTGCTTACTATTAGACAAATACTTTGAAACAGAAAAATCTCAAAGAAACAGTAGTTCACCAATTTTTACAACTTTGAAGACAGCAGGAGCAACAATATGTTTGAATAAAATCAGTAGCACCTGAACCATTGATAATCTATTTATAGAGGCATCAGCTAATCGTGGTTAGGTGCTGTTTCTGCTGTCAGCATATAATCCCACATCAATGATGTCATCCCACTTCATTTGCTTTTTTAAATTCAAAGGATACCAAAGCAGTTCTAAAAAGTCTATTTCTTGAAGAGTCAAGCCATGCATAGTTTGTCAAATAAGAATGGTTTGAAACTAAATATTTCTCTTCAACTGAAAACAATCTTTCCATGAGGCCAAGGTTAAGGTTGCTGCTTTAGTCCCTCTAAGAGTTTGTCCCAAAGGCCTAAAACACAATAAGAGGCTACCAAAAACAAAATATTGCGGAAAAATTCCATCTAATGTTCGATTAAGCAACAAGAAACTCACGGAAAAGTACACATAAGAAAACGACAGCAAATTTGCTACACCTAATTTTTGTGTTTCAGCAGGATAACAAGCTACTTAAGAAACAAATGAAACTGCAGATTCAGACAATATCAAAGCTGTTTAAAAGCTGATAGCAAAAATATAACCAAAAAACAACAACACAAGCAATTCACCTCAAAGACACTCTCTAGAGCTTGTAGATTGCCTACATTTATTTGTTTGAGTAAAGAGAAGCACATCAAGACAATAACAGTCAGTGCTGGCAAAAAGTGTAACATACACACAGAAATAAAAGAGGGAAAGCAAAGAATAAGGACTCACCAGTGGCATCCTCCACCCATCCCCCTCATGTTAGTAGACTACTAAAGGATGTAAATAATATTAATAATAATCTAATCAAACTCAGAGCCAAACCTTACAGCTTGACGGGCAGAAGTTTGATCACGCTAATATTACAGATTCATAGCTGCCAACGTTTCTACCCCCCCCCCCAACCCTGATTTTTACCCATCTGGAAGGTCAAGATGGTGGACATTGTCAAGATACTGTCCTCCAAATGGCAAACAGTTCACACACTTTTCTGTATTCAATAAGCTCAAGCTTTGATGTGAGAAATTGTAAGGGGCATACGACTCCCAATATTATTCACAAAACTAATCTTGAAAAATTCATAGTTTTTCTATGGCATCTACAAGTCTGTGAACAATACTAGAAAACAGGGAATATCGATTGCTTAGTGAAAGAATCTGTCATACGGCATTATGAAAAGTGACATGTGACAGAGACTCACACTGAGTAGTTGATATGTACATATGTATTTTCCTATCTAAAAAGGGACTTCCATACTCAGACCCTTAAAAAAGCACATCAAATATGTTTTCTATGTACTGGTTGGCAGCTATGTAGAATGAGAAAAGCAGAATCTTCAGTACATGCCTTCTCCTGCTACTTCCACTACCATAACTACTATCACTCACTTCATCCTGCAAGCTTACAACTGAGAGGCAAACTATTGATGACAAGAACTGATCACCAGCTCAGAAACAATTAAAACACCTACACATTTCATTTTAATTCACTCCGAGTAATAACATGTAAACACTACAGGGGGAAAAACTGGCTCTCACATTTTAAGGAATTTTAGTTTCCAAGTTTGGAACCTTACATCTTAAAAGATATTTAAAAAATTCCCACTTCATATCAACATGAAGCCTGCCATTTTTTCCCTTTAAAACATTAAGCTAAACTACCCTGTCATGGAGCCTCGATGGAGCATTACTCAAAATAATAATTTACAAAAAAACGTGACTCTGCCACTTTTCTCCCCCTGTAGTCTTCATTAATCACTCATATTTCCGCATGTCACGAGATCTCTACAAACAGAAAAGAATCCATTTCCACAGATAAAAGCAAGAACATTTGTCAGCCAGTGGAGAGTCATTGTGCCGACGCAGGTAGAGTCTAATTCTCAGAAACAGACAGCCATTATGCACACACTTTCAGAGTGAATCTGTGAGTCTATAACCCATACAAGAGTTAATTGCAATCTTGTTGTGAATAACCCTGTGTTTGTGTGACTACTGCATGTTCCAAAAAACCAAAAGAGAAGGAGAGAATAGAGGTGAACACAATCTGACTCGTCTGCTGCAGCCATCTTGCTGTTACTGTGTGGGGACACTGACAACAAACTAGGGCCGATGAAACTTTAAAAAAAGAGTTTTATGACCTTTGCATCGATTAGAGGTGTTAACTACTACAGAGTAACATAGAAAGAAAAGAAGAAGAGATGTTTGATAGGAAAAAAGGAGCAAACCACACCATAGCACCCACTAACCAACTGATGAAACATTTTGTTCTGCTTTTAAAAATGCAAGGTGATGACTTAAAGTAAAGCAAAATCAAATTTGAATTAAGAAAATTAAAATTTCAAGCAAAAAGAAAAAGTGAGTTGAAGTAATGCATAATGAAAAAAAAAAAGAAAAAGAGAATAAGACGTGAAAAAGAAACACTTTCGCAAAATGGACTGTCCCAAAATCTCTGACAGAATTTCTTCCAATATTCATTTTAATACCTTACTGACCAGAAATCTTTTAACCAGTGAACTGGTCATGAGTAGAATGCCAACTATACTAACTGAAAAATAGTGTACCTTGTCCATCTTTATTATTGGAATGATTTTCAGCTCTAATGTACATGTGCCTAGCATATGAAAAAAACCCGATGTTTATTATTAAGAAAATGTTTGGTGACCATCTCTTAGGTACAAAAAATTGAACCTGTTTGTGCCAAAAGATCCTTTATTAAAACACATTTGAAATTGCCAAAGATAGCTACAGAATGTTGAGGAGAAAAGTGTTTGTCTTAGACAGGTTGATGTCTTGGACAATGTCATTTTGAAAAACACAAGGAGAGAAGTGGGAAGTGTTCGTTTGTACAGGTGATTGTCTAGGACAAATGGTCATTAAAGCAGGTTCAACTGTATTCTTCTCGAGAGCCCCCAAAGGAAGCACAGTTGGAAACTTTATACTGCAACTCCTTGGCGGTCACTGATGGTGAACAAGAAGCAGAAGGAGCAAACCCCCAACCACAGTGCCCATCATTCACTTCCAACAAGTGCACCCTCCCATCAACGAGTGAGAGAGATAAAGAAGCCCTTCCCAACCGTCCAGCCAACAAAACAAACAATCACCCAAATCACATACAGTTTTAATAGTTTAAGACGGCCATTCATTGTCCAGGAGAAAAGTGGCCATCTTAGACAGGTGGCTGTCATACACAGTGACATTATAAAGTATAAAAAACAAAACACAATGCGGAAAATGGGAAGAGACAGTTTGAGCAGGTTCAACTGTATTGTCAAGACCAACACAGAACGTTCCTCAATCTGACCTCGGCCTACTTAGCAACAAGAAATGCTTTTCACAACGGATGTATTTAATCCTGACCCAGGTTTTCTATCTATTTCTTGAATGTGTTGACACATCACCAAACTTACACCCAGCACCTCACCTCTATGTCAACCTCCATGTTGATACAAAATAATGTACAAGGAAAAACAACAACAACCTTCTATCCAGTAATAAATTAAATTCAAGCTCTCGTCACCAATAAGCTATCATAAACTGAAACACAGAAACATATACTCACAGCGATCTCCTGGTGTTCGCATTCATTTAACCAAGTACAAAAAAAACACACGAAGAGGTGAAAATTAGCACAAAAAAAGCCAAAAGCACAGCAAAGTTGAACAAAAGAAATCAACAACTTGATACAATTTATTTCAAATGAACCCTCAGTGAAGCTTGTAAAGACCTAACCACAGTAACTCTCATAGAAAACATTGTGACCATGAACACAAGCCATGTCTATTAGACGAAAGGAATGAAGACCCAATCAAAATTAGAAGCAACCCATCATAAATCGTAACAAGCCGCACTATTTTTCACATTTTAGGTTAACTGACTTGAAGCTCATACTTTTTGTTTTAGTAAACGTTTTACTGCACTTGCAATACTATTAGGTCATAGTTTAAGTGTCAAAGATTAGAGGCGTTACAAGAGAGTAAAGTAAAGTAAAGTTGTTCCTGCATCCGATCCGGACATTGGGGATTGCCTTGTTAGTGAGACAACTTCCTGGGCCTTCGGTATATTGTGGTAGGGTGGCCAGTTCCTTTCCACGCCGCCTTTACTTCTCCAACTCGAAGTCAGGTACCCATTACTACTGGGCGGGCAGGAGGGGGTGAAAAAAATCTGTGTCCGAACCGAGGCTCAAACCCGGACTTTTCGCTTCGGAGACGAGCGCACTAACCGCTCTGCCACCGCACACTCTACAAGAGAGTAACAAACATAAAAAAGAAGGAGAGATAAGGATGATAGTCGTTTGACAGGAATGAAGGAGCAAATCACACTAGAGCACCCACCAACCATCCGCACGCATACTCTTTAGATCGAGAGTGTTTTTTTCCCTGATGAAAGTTGACCATGAGTAAATCTTCCAGAAGGTGAAAACCTGCAGGCTGAAACAGAGCACTACCCTCCTGTTCTTTCTACAAGTTTTCACCAAGTTTGCCTCAGTGCCCTGAAGGAATGACTTATTTACAGAATAGTGTGCACTAAGAGAGTCCCAGCAGGAGCCACTGTCCAAAATTCAAGCCAGACCCGGTAACACTGCTGACAAAAATGGTCACAGTAACATTACTAATAAAAGCAGTCACAGTAAAACTACCAACAGTCACAGTAAAACTACCAACAGTCACAGTAAAACTACCAACAGTCACAGTAAAACTACTGACAAAAACTGTCACAGTAACACAACTGACAAAAACGGTCACAGAGACACTAGTGACAAAAACAACCACAGTAACAATACTGACAAACATGGCTACAGTAATACTGGGGGTCACAATAAAACTTCTGAAAAGATGGTCAAGGTAGCAAATCTGAAAAGAAAAGGGTTAGTAGCGGAAGGCTACGGTCAAGAGTACCACTACTGACAAAAATGGTCACAGTAACCCAAGCAGAACTTCCAGGCATATAAGTTCCAGTCTCTCTCTCTCTCTCTCTCTCTCCCTTATATACAGTAAGAATAAAGGAATGTAGATTACTGCACTGTTGCTGAGGTGACAAAAAGCCCATCCCCCTCCACTAGGCCCAAACAAAATCACTTGTTCGTTCTTAACTAAATCCAGAAAAACACCAGCCCCCGATATCAGCCCCCCCCCCACCCCCAACCAAATCATAAGATCACTCGCTTTGCAAAACAACAGAACAGATTAAGGAGAGAAGGTGGCATGGTTTGGTGTTAATT